GAGGAAGGCTGAACTTAAAGGACCACTATAGTGCCGGGCTCTAGGGTGATGAAGGGGTTAAACTTACCTCTTTCTCCAGCGCCGGGCGGGGGACTCTCCTCTCTGCCTCCTCTCCTCCTCTTCTGCTGAATGCGCATTCCTATGGACGCTGGCGTCTTCTCACTGTGATTTTCACAGTGAGAAGCGCGGAAGCCCTATAGCGGCTGTCAATGAGACGGCCACTAGAGTCTGGATTAACCCATAGGTAAACATAGCAGATTCTCTCAAACTGCTATGTTTATAGAAAAAAGGGTTAACCCTAGCTGTACCAGGCACCCAGACCACTTCATTAAGCTGAAGTGGTCTGGGTGCCTATAGTGGTCCTTTAATGGACACGTGGCTCATTTCAGCATATGTAACTATATATATTACTCTTTACATGCTCTTGCTTTCTGTAGAGGGAATTAAGTGTTGGAACTCAGGAGGGATGTAGGGTAATAAAACATGGGTAGACTGGCTGACTATAAAACCGTTAAAGGGACACTATATGCACCAAAACAACTTTAGCTTAATTAAACAGTTTTGGTATACAGATGATGTTCCAGTAGTCTCACTGCTCAATTTTATGCCATTTTAGTAGTTAAATCACTTTGTGTATTGGGCATTATTTACTCCCTCCCCTGCCCCCCCTTCCCCTTATTTTGGAGAAAAACCATTTCTAAATAAACTTCCCTGCAATCCAGCGCTGTGTGAAGCTGACCTCACTTACTTTCTCTACTTTTGCTATGTCACTCCTTCCCTCTCTTCGGCCAGTGCAGCCGAAGTCAAAGCTTAGCTGATTTATAGAATTTTCCCAGCTCAGCTATTTTGACTTTACATTTGAAATTCACATAGAATTCTCAGTTTAGAAAACAAATCTGACAGCGTTCATCATATGGTATCTGCTAGTCTAGCTGCAAACGATTACTTTTTCTGAGTGCTTTGGATGAAGGCTGGAAGCCTGGAACTGGTCTGTAGGCTTTGTGTAAATAATGAAATAATGCTGATCGTTATAGTACATTCAATAAACAAACACAGAGATAATGCCATAAAGCTGTGGATTACACCTACATATACATTTACACAACTTGCACGCCTTATTGGATAACGTAATTGGCTTTTATGTATAAAACTGCTTATATCATCACTTCTGCCCCATATTTTGTTAATTCAACTGGAAGCAAGCTGCAATGCATTGTGTTATGCAGCTGGCAGGCTTTTTTAAATTTTATATTGAGTACATTGAGTAGACCATCAATATACTAAATGTCCACTAGGAGGCACACTAAGTTCATGGCACTCGTGGTGGCTTGTTAGTTTGTCTCAACAAAAAAAATAAAAAATTGAAAAACCTACACTTTTTCCTTGCTACAATATTGGAGTCCCTCAGCTGTCTTGATTTATTTGTATATTTAACCAGCGTTTGTTAATAGTATTTTCCGAGGCCTTGAATTGCGACAGCATGCCGAATGATCAGTAAAACAGAATGCATTCGCTGTTTAATATTCCTCTGTGAAAAGCTGCCACCCCAGGCTTATAAAACCTTCAATGACAAGAATTCCCCATTTGCTTATCTTGGCATTTCTCGTAGAGCATTAATAAATGATTATGCTGCTTTAATAACAAGTATATATCCCTCCAGAAAAACAGCAATTCCGAATGAAAGATGCGTTTAGGTTAGTATTAAGAGAAATTACAGCTTTTAAATGTTAACATTACAAATGATATTGCTTAAGAAGATAAATTAGTTTATATCCTTTGAAATTATATGTTATAGAATTGCTTTATCAGGTCACATTTTTTCACAGCTCACGTGTGCAACTAGTTGGTTTAAACAAGTTTGTGTGTGAGGGGCAGGGCCGGACTGGGGATTCCAAAGCAGCCCTGGCAAAAAAATCTATGCCAGCCCCATAAGTCATTGCGCCATATATTGTCGCGTGTAATATGTAAGGCTATGTCTTGCCACCCTAGATGATTGAGATATATATATATATATATATATATATTGGTTTTTCCAATATAAAATATTGGTCCTTTCAGAGTAAAATTTTTAATTATACAGTAAGCATACTCACATGCAGAGACAGTCAATCTCACTGACACAAGCTGATTGATACACAGCCTCATAGACAAACAATCTCACTGATATACATAAGGTCATTGACATAAAAACACAAGCTCACTCAGTAGCAGGCACGCACACACAGACAGCTTAATGTAGTGCCTCTGGTGTCTATAGCATGTTCCTGCAGGCTTTTCAATGTAAACACTGACTTTTTAGAGAAAAGGCAGGGTTTACATTGCTTCCTAGTGACAGACACTCAGACAGTCACTAGAGGTGCTTCTTGTGTCAGTGTGGATTGGCTGAGATCATCAAGCTTGCTGATCTCAGCCATAGAGGCAGGGCCAGTCGAGGGGAGACCAGCACGACGTGGGGAAAAAAAAAGGTGAGTAAAAACACACATACACACACATATACCATGACAGACACACACCATGACACAGACAGACCGTGACACAGACACACACACACACCGTGACACAGACACACACACACACCGTGACAGACAGACACACACACACCATGACAGACAGACACACCATGACACAGACACACACACACATACCATAACAGACACACACCTTAAAAAAGACACACACACACACACCATAACACAGACAGACCGTGACACAGACACACATTACATGACACAGACAGACAGACACACACACACCACGACACAGAGAGACTGTGACACAGACACACACACACCATGACACAGACAGACACACATTACATGACACAGACAGACACACACACCATGACATACACACACACACATGACACAAACAGACCGTGACACAGTCAAACACACATTACATGACAGACACACACAATGACACAGACACACATTGCATGACACAGACAGACGCACACACCATGACAGACAGAGACACACACACACCATGACACAGACAGACACACACAATGACACATACACACATTGCATGACACAGACAGACACCCACACACACCATGACACAGACAGACACACACACACACCATGACACAGACGCACACACCATGACAGACAGAGAGACACACACACCATGACACAGACAGACACACACCATGACACGGAAACACATTGCATGACATAGACAGACAGACACACACACACACACACCATGACACAGACACACACACACACCATGACACAGATAGACACACACACCATGACACAAACAGAGACACACACACCATGACACAGACAGAGACACCATGACAGACACACATACAAATGACACAGACACACATACAAATGACACAGACACACATACACTCACACTGACACACACAATTGCTACCTGTGTGCTGGCGGCCGCATGGGGAGCTCTGATGGCGGCCGCATGGGGGGAGCTGGATCTTCTGGCTGCAGCAGAGGGAGCTCTTTTGGCAGCCGCAGGGGATGCTGGCTGTTCTGTCTCTGCTCCCCCGCCCCAGAGCGCTGCTTAATGAGACCGGGGCCGGAATATGACACCATATTCCGGCCCCGGTCTCTTTGTAGCGCACTGGGGCGGGGGAGCAGAGACAGAACAGCCAGCTCCCCCTTCGGCCGCCAGAAGAGCCAGCTGCCTGCCCGTCCCCAGGTGTCAACGGCCCACCAGGAAATTTCCCGGTATCCCGGTGGGCCAGTCTGGCCCTGGTGAGGGGTACAATATGAAAGGGTACAGTGTGTGTGTGTGAAGGGTACAGTCTGTGAAGGGTACAGTGTGTGTGTGTGAGGGGTACAGTGTGTGTGGGGTACAGTGTGTGTGTGTGTGTGTGTGTGTGGTACAGTGTGTATGTGAGGGGTACAATCTGTGAAGGGTACAGTGTGTGTGGTACAGTGTGTGTGTGTGAAGGGTACAGTGTGTGTGACGGGTACAGTGTGTGTGGGGGCAGTCTGTGAATGTGGAAGTTATTGTGTGTGGGTGTGGGGGGCGGCAGATTAAAAAAATATATATGTGTTTGTTTTTTTATTAAAATAAATAATCTTTAGATCCCCCCTCCCTTCTTACCTTTGCCTGGGAGTGCGGGATCTTTCTCAAGCCCTGATGGTCCGGTGAAGATTTCCTGGTGGTCCAAGTGGTCAGACCTCTAGCCTGCAGCTTCTGGGCTAGAGTACACTCTCGCGAGTCTGGAGCGTTGCGACGGTGTCAATCAATGGTCCTTAGATCATCTGACAAAACTAGCTGAGCTCTACTCTGCTATTTCACGGAAGTGCCTTGAGAAATTGACAGCCGCTAGAGGCAGGTTAACCCCGCAATGTAAACTTTGCCATTCCTGCAGGGTGTCAAAGGTAGAGCATATTGCACCAAGAGTATTTCAATGAGATGAAGTAGTCTGGGTGCCACTAGTGTTCCTTTAACGATAAGTAGGCAGGGCCGGCGCGTCCATAAGGCGGCACAGGCGGCCGGCTTAGGGCGCACGGGCTCTGGGGGCGCAATATTTCAGTGACCGGCAGGAGGGAAGCACTCCCTCCTGCACAGGCCACCATCTCGACCCCCGGCGCAGCAGTGCTGTGATCAGGCGCGGCTAGGGAGCTCTAACCTCTCTGCTCCCTCGCGCGCTGTCTGCTGATGCCGCGGGAGCCGGACTATGATGTCATCCCGCAGCATCAGTAGGCAGCCCGCGAGGGAGCAGAGGGTGGAGATTAGAGCTCCCTCGCCGCGCCTGATCACAGCACTGCCGCACGCCTCTCAGCAGCCCCAGCCCCCCCAGCCCTCAGGGACCGATCCATCACCCACACCAGCTCTCCAGGTAGGGAGGCTGGGTGGAAAATGTGTATTTATAAAATAATTAGTGAATGTATGTGATGTGTGTCTGTGAGTGACTGAGCGTGTGTGTCTGTGAGTGACAGTGTATGTGAGTGACAAAGTGTGTGTGTCTGTGAGTGACTGTGTGTTTGAGTAACAGAGTGTGTGTGTCTGTGAGTGACTGTGTGTGTGAGTGACAGAGTGTGTGTGTCTTTGAGTGACTGTGTGTGTGAGTGACAGAGTGTGTGTGTCTGTGAGTGACTGAGCGTGTGTGTCTGTGAGTGAGCATGTGTCTGTGAGTGAGCATGTGTCTGTGAGTGACAGAGTGTGTGTGTCTGTGAGTGACAGAGCGTCTGTGTGTGTGTCTGTGAGTGACAGAGTGTGTGTCTGTGAGTGACTGTGCGTCTGTGAGTGTCTGTGAGTGACAGCGTGTGTGTGTGTGAGTGACTGAGTGTGTGTGTGAGTGACTGAGTGTGTGTGTGTGTGTCTGTGAGTGATTGTATGAGTGTGTCTGCATGTGAGTGTATGAGTGTGTCTGTCAGTGTATGATGAGTGTGTTTGTCAGTGTATGAGTGTGTGTCTGTCAAATCAGTGAGAGTATGTTTGTCATTGAGTCTGTGTGTGACTATCAGTATGTCTGTCAATGAGTGTCAATGAATGAGTGTGTGACAAATCAATGAGTCTGTGTCTGTCAGTGACGTCTGTGTGTTTGTCATTGAGTGTGTGACTGTCAGTGTGTACAGAGTGTAGCGGAGCAGAGCGCGGTACAGGAGCTTCTGTTTCCTGTACCTGGCCAGACTGACAGGAGGTGCTCAAAGAGAGAGCACTCCCTGTCAGTCCGGCCGGGTACAGAAAACTGAAGCTCCTTTAGGGGATCTGCTCCGCTCAGCAATGCAACAATAGAGGTAGTAGGCACACCAGGAAGGGGAGTGTGACCACTAAAGGGGTGTGGGGTGCACCAAGGGACAGGGAGGGAATGGGAGAGAAACAGCAAGAGACAGGGAAAAGAGGGGGGAGAAGAACAGGGAAGGGACCACTAATGGTTGGGGAGGGGAGAGGGGCTGGTTAAGAGGCACATAGGTGAAGATGTTTTTTTGGGGGGGCTGGGGGGGGCGGAAAACACTGCTGTATCTGTAATACAGATTCAGTGGAGCATTCCCCTACAGCCTTCAAATTCCTTCTTTCAAAATTATTTTTATTTCCTTATATTTTAGGTAACATTTTTAACTTAAATAGTGCCGCACGCATAGCGCATGCATACACTGTAAGAGAGAATTCCAAACGTAGAGGCACAAAGGAGGTGCACAAGGTTTTTCCTTACCTCCACTCCCCTCCTCCATTCAGCCCAGTAAACCTTATGATAATGTTTACTGGGATAAAGAAATTAGTAAATGTATAAATGTCCTGTGGCGAAACCGACCTCGCCACTGGGCATTGGAGAAGACTGATTGCCAGCCTCCTGCCATGTGACTATGGCCCCTGGGATGTATTGCCCTTTAAAGACATGATTTGGGCATAATGGATTTGTGTTGTGCTGCTGCTGGCCCTTTAAGAACCATCTAGGGACATACTGTGGAGTTACTGGGTGGCCACCATTTCATGTATCAGAGGCACATGGTGAGAACAATGGATGAAGAACATGGTGAGAACAATGTATGGCGGCCATTTTAACTCACAGACACTGTTTGGACTTTTCTACACGGTGCCATCTCGCCGGTATTTGGTGCACAAAGACATCGTGCAGTAGTTTTAAACTATACAACAGGGGACATTATACAGTAATTATTTTTCATATAGCTTGTATATGTTCTGCAGAATCTGCATTAAACTGTATCTTCCAAACTACTGAACGGATCTGGGTGAATTTTGGATATGTGGTTCACCCAGATCCCCCGGTTTTATGGGGTTATTGCATGTTTTGGGGTCCCTGTGATGTGTTTTATGAAACTGTATTTCTCTGTCTGTGATAATTAGATTACCCATTGTGTTCAGTAATCATATCACAGGCAGAGGGGAGGATTTTGTGTGGGAGTGTCTGTGTGTATTGTACGGATTGATTGGTTGTATTTCAAAACCCTGTGGGCAGTACTATGTTTGTGGATTGTGAATAAAAGAGGCTGTATGTGCCAGTACAGGCAGTTCTACTTGACCTCAAACGAAGTGTCATCTCGTTATTGGGGGAATTGTATTGTATGCTGATTGCCAGGAGTGTAAGCTGATTGTATGCTTTTCCTGTTCAGCTGCTTACAGCATTCATATGCTTGAGAGCATTCAATGCTTCTCCAGTTCGGTGGTTGTGGTGTCTGCTGCAATGCTTGGAGTCCTCAGGAAGTGCTAGGAGCATCCTTCAACTGAGGTACCCAGTCGGGGTGCTAGGTGATCCGTTACATGTCCCTTCTCTGGAAGTGATAGTTCATATTTAAGATTTTTTTTAAATAAAGTTGGGAATCCAAATTCAGTTAGTGTCAATGTTATGTAATGCCTGTTTGGACAGTTAAAAGATTCCAAAAAAAACTTCAGATAAGCTCTAGAAAGAGATGTGCAGTTGTCTATGATTTTTTTTAGTATAACTGTATGAATAAGATATGGTAAAGCTTTGCAATAATTGTTTACGATTTAATGTTGCAATTTTAATAAAGAAATTAGATTGAAACTCTCCTGCCTCAGGGTTTCACTCTTTTCTAAATTTTAGGCATAGTTTTTTTTTTTTTTTTTTTTAGCAGCTCTCGCCCATGCATTTCTTTGTGACCCTTGTTAGCCTAAGGTTGCAGCTGGCTTTTAAACTTCTCAATTTTCAGTTTATTACCTCTTTTCGCTTGCTACTGTATTTCTCTAGTATGTTTGTTTTTATCTCAGATCATCAATTGCCAACTAAACAGAGAATGGATTTGCAACCAATCTGCCTTTAGTGAGATTTTTTTTAACCCAAATTAGCAATTTAACCTGTCACTGTGCAAACTGTCGCACGCCCACTGCAGTTGGAACTTTAGTGAACACACATTTTTGTCTTCAAAACTGGTCGGGGTGATTTTAGCAACTACTGATTGAGAACACACAAGAACAAGTTGCTCAAAATTAATAATTGTTAACAATATTATATTACAAACTTTTCAAGTTGGTGACACACTTTTCAGACATGGTGGTGGTGGAGTCCGTCTTCTGTTTCTTGAACCCGTCACTTCAGTTGCGCACGCAAATCAGCAGTTTCATCCCGATTCCGCATGTGCTGATCCCTCGATCATCTCTCTAACACTCTGGACCCTATTCACAATACAGTAATATAACATACCCAGGCCACGTTGGCTCTTCTCAACTTATTTACTGTTGCTGGCTGCCTGTTGGGGATGGTTGGCAGTCAGACTGGCTACTGCTAGCAGCAGTGGCTAGCAGACTGGTGTGGCTTGCTGGCTTGCAGGCCTCTTTCTTCCCCCAGCCCCTTTGTGCTTCTGTTTCTCCCCCAACCCCTATGTGTTTCTCTTTTTTCCCTTCCCATCTGCATGCAACCCCAGTGTGTCTCTTTGTGCCCCCTCAGCCCCTCTGTGTGTCTTTGTGTCCCCTCAGTCCCTCTGTGTGTCTTTGTGTCCCCTCAGCCCGTCTGTGTGTCTCTTTGTGCCCCCTCAGCCCCTCTGTGTGTCTCTTTGTGCCCCCTCAGCACCTGTTACGTCTGTCACGTATTTGATGGGAGGAGTCCAGGAGGCAGGAATCAGCCAAGGCGAAGCACCAAAGGGAAAATCAAATTCGTAGTCGAGGAAAGCCAGGGTTCAGTTCAGACGGGATGGGTTTAGAAACGATAACACAGGCAGAGGGTCAGATACCTAGTATTTCTAGTATATCCAGTTGAAAATGCATTTTTAAAGGTGTACTGAGTCTTTGGGTGTAGCCCTAATTTTTTTATCACTCTGTTTAGGAAAAAAACAAGCCCCTCTGCTGCTGCTCGGATAATGCATTAGCCCTTGTATGGTAATGATAGGCTGTGAGCAGCAGTGTTGCTGGGGGGCTGCCCTGTGCTGAAGCCCCTTTTGGCGTCCAGAAATTCATTGGGTCTGGTTTTGGCACCAACACATACAATCACATTGTTTTTGACAGTGACACTTTAATTGCTGTGAACGTAGAGTTTTCATGCACTAGGTGCGGGTTTAATACTGCAAACCTGAGGTTAATGCAGCATTTACAGAATTAACCCAGCATTTAAGATTTAACATTGGACATAGGGTATGGCACAGGATAGTATTTTGAGGGGGTGTATGTAAGGCTGAAGACCTGGTCTCTTTTACCACCCAACAATGACCTAGAATAAGAGTAGTGGAAATGGCATTAAAAATCCCAAGTTGGCACATCCATGGAATTTAATGTTATTTACTAAAATTTATATTTCTAGGAACTCTGACTCCTTAGCTATAGTGACTGTAAAAGCCCAAAGGACTCGTCAGTGTTTTATCCCATTTATCAAATATAATTCCTCCTGTAATCCTGCAAACTCCTGTACCATTCATAAGGTTCTACCACATAAATGAAATAAACTAATAATTACAAATGTCTTATACATCTGCCTGTTACCGAGTCACTGCTCTCCTATCCTACAACCACCTACTGTCTCTCACCCAATTACCCTCTCTGGAGACTCTGCAGAGTCCCTCACCTGTATTCCTTTCACTTGTCCAATATAGTGATTCACAGAAAGCTTCAGAAATTCAAAATAATGGTGAAAGGGGCATCAAAATAAGCTATTTGAGTGCTAAATCCTGTCCCATTCTAATACAGTTCCCATATTGGCTGGATGTAAATGAAATAACTGTATCTCCAGTAGAACCTTGGACAGATCTCTTGCAACTTGTATGTCCCCTGAAACTATACTTCCCTCTCCTACTGACTCACAGGCGTTAAAGGGTCACCCTAAACACCATGAACTTTGCAGAATTGTAAAAAGCCTGCTCTCAGCACTAACCAAGGTTTAGAACTTCTTATAAATCACTGCAGTTCTAATCCTGTCCCTCAAAACTGTCTGTAAGTCACAGGTATACTAGTCAAGAGATATACTATGAACCTGACACTTCTAGACACTGGGGGAGCTACAGCCGTCTATAAGTGTCAATCCCTCGAGCCATCACCAATGACGGCTGCAGGGAATTGGCTTTATCTTGCAGGATCCTCCATAGAGGTCTATGCTGTGCTCTCACGCATGTGCGAAAGTTCAGCAGTGACATTGACTCCTGGCACTGAGAAGATGGCGGCATCCGCGATGGACAGGTTCAGGTAAGTAGAACTCACCTTTGCCTGCCTCCCTGACCACCGGACACCCAGAGTCGATGTCACCATGGGAGGTCTTTGCAAAGTCCCAAGATGGTGACAGTGTTGCTTTAAGTCCTAAAAATTACACTAATGATTAACTCCCTACACTAACTTAATGCTGAACCATTAACTCATATACTACTTCAAAACACATATGCAAACCCAAACCTAAAAATATCATGTAATATAAACATACATTTTTGCAATACACGTATTAGAGCAGGGGTTCTCAACCCAGTCCTCGGGACCCCCTACCAGTCCAGGATTTGGGGATTACCTGGGTG